AAAAAAAAAAAAAAAAAAAAGAAAAAAAAAAAGAAAAAAAAAAAATAATGGATAAAGCGACCGTTAAAACTTTGGATCCAACATACTTTGCTAAAAACGATGAATTTTTAAGACATTTGCATATCTTGGATACTTTAGCCTACGAATCATTAGAAGCTCAAATAATGTTTATTGGGGAAGCAATTCGGAATCCAACAAACGTTGTTAAAAACATTCAATTGAAATGGCACGCGTCAACGAAATTTTCATGGTTTTATAATGTCAAACAATCCTTGTTGAACAATAATGGATTTGTAGACATCAACATGTATAACGTATCGGACAATGACGAAGCACGCACCATGGTCCGCCGTTGTAACGTGACCCTATTTTTCAATTCATTATTCGCGGAATTTGACCCCGAAGCATCGGATCTCTCGAATGTTGATTATCGAACATTCTTTGATTATATCGTGCCATCCTCTCTTTCGCAATCCATGGAAATTTGGCATTTGGGTTTAAAATTGAAAACGCAATTATATTTATACAAAACGCGTAAGGAACCTTTAACGAATTTTTTTGATAAGATGTTCCCAAAGGAGATTGAAGGTCCACCAAAATATAAGGAAGCGCATATAAACCTTCGCAATACGATTAAAAGATGTTCCGGAGATATGGACGCTTTGTTGAAAAAATTTAGTTGGTATACGTTCACTCAAGAGATGTTTTTGTTCCTATCTGGCATAGCGGGAGACCTAGACAAGCCGGTATTGCATAAGCATACATCGATCCACACTTCACCAGTATCATCTAGTTCGACTCGGGTTGTTAATTTGGACTTATTACAACGAAAGGAGGTTGACAGTCCAGGTGGTAATGCAAAGAAACCGAGGTCATGTGATGCTGAGCAGGATCAAGATGGTCTTTTGTATAATTTCGATGATTATCCTAAAAGTGGAGAGGTAGCACAAGTTATTTCACGTGATCAAGATTACAATCCGAACCTATTCGGATTTGCCGTGAAGCAGCCCAATTTGGCTAAGATTTCCGCATTCCGTAAACCGCAACGTTCGAATAATGTGGGTATATTTGGCATCATCAGCCAATCTCCCAAAGCTAAATCAGGTACAAGAAGACAAAAGGACATAGAGTCATGTACTTTTGCTCTAGGGTAAGGCAAAAAAAAAAACATTTTAAAATCATGGTGAAATAATTACCATCATTTTAAATGAACGAACGAAATTGATTTATTTTAATATTTTATTAGGCAAAGGAAAAAAGAGTGTTCGTTAAGTTCCCCAATCAACAAGTTTTCGGAAAAAAAAATAGCAGATGATGAGTAAGTTCGTTAAATTATTTGTCATGTTCTCTGAAATTTAGATCATTTCATTGATATCTAATTTCTTTTATATTCTAGACAAACTTCTTCAGAAGCGTCATTCGTGGAACAAAGTCCACCTCGTAAACGTATCGAAAGTAATTCCAGGTAATCAAGAAAAGGGATAATATTTTTGTCATTATACCGTAAATAGATATATACAAATTTTCCTTAATTATTAAATTTTGTAAATATATTTGTCTTAAAGAAAATCAACACCCCGGGGTAAAAAAAGAGCCATATTAAACATTGATGATGAAGTTATTCAAATTTCATCGAAACGAGTTAAATGGAATGATGAGGAGTTACGAACCCTTGAAGAAGGTATGCGTGAACACGGCAAGGCTTGGTCTAAAATAAAAAGAGATTATGGAGGACCTGGACAAGTCCTTGAGCGACGAAGACAAGGACAATTGAAAGATAAGGCGCGTAGCGAATATGAGCGTCGACAAAAGGATAACATTGAACTTGGTGTTTTTGAGATCTTTGAGATGGATTAAAAAGTATATAATATATATTATATATATATATATTAATTAATCCTTATGAAATGAAATTTTTATTCAATATAGACGAAATATATAAAAAAAGAAAATTTTTAACTTTACACGGGACTTATTAAACACTGGTCATATCATAACGATATCACCCGGAATCACTGTGCTTCGTTTTTACCGTGTGGCAAATGGAAGTAATAAATATATAATTTTCCAAAAAATTTTTATATTATCAAAGTTCTATTATTGAAGTTAAGTTGAATAAGATTGCTAAATAAAAGATTTTTAAATGTGTGTAGAGTTGGGGACTTTCAAAAAACTCGTGTTATATTTCTATTTGAAAGCCATCAAGCCGATCAATACTTTATTTCATTAATGCCAATATATATATATAGAATTTTACCATTTAAAAAAGTTTATTAAAAAATTTAAGATGTCAAATTATTTTTATTTTTAAATTTTTTTTTTTTTTATTCAATTTAAGAAATAAAAAACGAAATTTTTTTACTAATTTTTTTTTTAATACCAAATCCTGTTTCACATAATAATAAAATAACGTTTATGATAAAAATTCAAAAACTGTGCTTAACAAATCGTTATACGAAATCTACGAAACTTGCACTTTTCTCACGATTTGTTATAAAATTAGAGAAAAATATTTGATGAATCAAAGAATCAACAATTGCCTTCTGCCAGAATCGAACTGACGACCTTCTGCTTACATATTTATACTAGGCAGACGCTCTGCCAACTGAGCCAAGAAGGCGATTCGCATTTCTTTTTTTTTTCATTATTTTTATTTAATTTATAAATACATTCGATTAAATTACGCAGTACTTATATGGTGCTTAACGCGGATAGGATGATTATATATGTTTATATGTTTATCTGCTATGCTTACAATTTTTGATTTATTATTTAATATGGATTTCTTCTACAATGTAGAGTCTTCGCGTACCTATAATCCAAAAAAAAACTACCAATGATCCACAACATCGTATGGCACTACTTTAATTTCTTTCTTATTCTTTTCATTTTGCCATCTATCAAGCCAATAATTCATATTTTCCCGACTTTTCTCAGACCTAATAAAAAAAAAAATTCAATAAATGTAATAAATGTGAATTTATTTACTTCGTCCATCTTACCCAATGTTAACTGTCGGTATTATTTGTTTAACATTCAATGACATTATAAAAGCGGCCAATTCTCTAAAACTTGAATGTTCAGAATAAGGCACTCCGAATATCTGACATGTTGGTGTGGAATATGTGGGTCTTATAGTATCAATAGTGAACGGAGTGGATGCATTAAGGATCTCTTCAGTTGTAGAAGAAGTTGAAAACCTTTGTCCTTCCGTTGGTCTATAAGTCCATCCAGTTGGACGAAAAGCCATGATAGATTTAAATGATGGTTGAAGACTTTCAAGATATGCACAAAGAATCTATTATAAATAAATAAATACGTGTTAAAGAATGGTGTATAATTAATAAATTGAAAATTAAGTGAAATTCAAGATTATTACATCGGGTTTGATTGATGTAAGGGATACAACGTGTACATATGCTTGATGTGGATCGTTCGTCAAAAGTGATTCAAGGCCGGAAATTTCCTGGCACATAAGCATCTTTCGTTTCTCACATGTAACATAAATCTTAGTCTGGAGAGCCTTTGCAATACCTATAACACAATAACGTATTCAATATTCCAATAATTTAATTAGATAATATTAATTAAAAACTTACCAAAAAAGACCTTCTCCTTGCCAATTAAGTATGTACCAACTACAACTAGAATTTTACTATTCTTTAATTTCAATTCTTCGATATCAGTATTTTCATCATCAATGAAATTATCTTCTTTCATATAAGAATCAGATTCTCCTGCGTCCATTGATTTTGTCTCATTTTCCGATTGTTCAGGCTTAAGGATTTCTGGTATTTTTTTAACCCATTTATCCAATGCAAGTTGCGATTGGTTCGATTGAAGCTGTTTATTTTTACCTTGACGGTTATTACCATTGTTATGTTTCATTTGAATCAGTTCACCCCTCTTAACCGCTTTACAAACTAAATTAATCATAGCATTGATAACTATTTCCTGAGCAGGAAAAAAATATTGTGGATTTAAATAGGTAGTGTCAAGATATAAGATATCAACTACAGGATTTTGAGGTTGTGTAATAGCTGAATGAAGAACTTGCCGTGGACAAGCGCGAAAATCACCGGTATGAAGATATCGTTTGATTTGTCCGTTTTCCTTCTTCAATTTAAACAAGAAAACTGCTGATCCAGGACAGCTATAAATGTATTTAATATAAGGAAAATGAATGAAAACTTTCAAACAATCTTATTCAATTTTGAACTTACTGATTGGCATCAATCAAGTGACTGTAATGCCATTGTTATTATCTATGCAAACTTCTTCATTCATGGGAAGTTTGCGAATAAAATGACGTGCCACTTTTAATTGTTGGACCACCAAATTACCAGTAACTGTGGAGCAGTAAATTAGTCCATGAGACCACTTTGACGTTAATCCACCATAATGATCCGAATGGAAGTGGCTTTAATAAAATTAAAATTGTAGACAAACTTATTAAGAACCTCAACAACAATTGATTACCTCTTCCGCTATCTTACCTCAAAAAGTAGGCAGTGCAATGTGGAATTTTGCCATATTTAAATGCATCCATCGTTATGCTCGTGCCTAATTAACATTATTCAGTTTACGACCATATAAAAAGAAATTATTGCTTTTAAAATTTAATCACCTGGTAATTTTTTGTACCATGGGCACTCTTTTCTAGATTGAGGCTTAGCGAATCGATCTTGTTTCTCAACAACAAATGATTCTATTTCTTTACGTTCAATATTTCTTGGTTCTTTTTCATTCCTGCTATACATGAATGATTCTTGAATTACTTCTGCATTACTTGAAAATGAATCAAGTGGTAATGATGATATATTCTTGTTGTGAATCTTCTCTTCTTTTTACACGAGAATTTTGATGAACCATCAAGACAATTATTGACATGTATATTTGATGCCTGTGAGATTAAAATAAAAATAAAAATTGAATTTCAATAAAAGTGAGGACATAAAAATTTATATATTAATTTGAAAACTCGCTT